TTTCACCGGTCCGGGACTTTTTGAACACCCTGTATAATATATCTAGATGTATTATGTAAATTTGTAATAAACAGAATCACCACACTTTTAACAAAAGTCTTGCCCTACAAAAGGTGAACGCGCGTGCACGATGCATCGCCGAACGGCGGCTGGTACACAATGTCGCTGCTTGGCGGCGATCCCGGTTCATTATCGCGACTATTCGCGAAGTGAACTTGGACCGCGAGTTCCGTAATTACTGCCGGCGAGGTGTTACGTCCACGCGCGAGAACAGGTCGAATTGAGGGAGGCGTTCGCGTGACCGGCGCGAAACTTGGCGTTAACGATATTATGCGTCGCCCCCGCGTGCAAACAAGATTTTGTTGTGCAGCGGGAGTGCGCGCGCTTTGTGAACAGAGACCGGTCTCTTTCGCGGAGATCGGATAGCACATTCGCGTTAAAACTTGTCGTCGCAAAGATTGCAGTCTGCAATCGCGTTACACGTCCCGGAGCGGAATCTCCACGGCAAACTTAAAGGGCTACAGAATAGAGACAGAAATAACGGAAGAAGGAAGAAAAAAGTCGTAGAACTTTGTAAACATTCGTGACGTCCCGAAGTCGAAATTTTGGCGCTATGTTAAATTTCGAATGCAGTCATCAAGCGAATCGATAGATATCTCTCATCACAGCATCTGTATAATTTGTTCGATCAACTAAACGTTCGCTTGAATGAATTCTGTTCATCCCAGCGAAGTGTCTCGTTAAATTCAACCTTTTTTTTCAATGTACAAATAGTAATAGTCGCGTGAAAAATATTGAGCGCGGTGCGTATAACGAGCTGTCGCATGACAGCGGACAATTATAAATGTCGCTGGCATTTGTTCTATTCGCTGTTAACCAGTGTTAACTGTCCCACCTGATTTAACAAATATTCGCGCCTCCTCTAATCCGAGAATCGATAAATTTTTCAATATGTATCGCATACGACCTGTTAAAAATTTACGCAATTGTTATTTCTGTTCATGAAACACGCTAATGAAGATTGACCGAAAAATCCTGTAATATACAGAACGAGAGAGAGAGAAAGAGGGAGAGAAAATAATTGGTTACAATAAACTAATAATAAAAAGTCAGAATGTTATAAAAACAGTTATAAATACAATATTTTTCTGTGTTGCAATTTATATCGCAATGCCCATAAAAGGAAGGAGTATAGTGGCATTTTTTTTAACTACAAAATATCAAATTTGTTATGTGCTAAATAATACTGAAATACACAAAGCGACCGTCGCAAAGCAGCGAGATTTTTTCGGACATATTTCAATTATTACTCGTTTTACGAAGGAAAATGTAGCTAAATGTAGCTTACGTAGAACGACTGTATTTTTCATCTCTCCGATTTTGCGCCGGCGCGAATCTCTCTCTCTCGCTCTCTCTTTCTCCCTCATCTGTATCTATATAAAATACATGTATCCAATTTTTTATCAATTCACCTTTTTTCCGCTTCGTAGAATCAAACGGTAGATAAATATTAATATCTAAACTACGAGTGGAGAAATACAAACTTCGCGCACAGCCGAGAAGGTTATACGAGCACGAATGTGGCGCGACGCGGTCCAGGACCAAATATTTCGGTATCTCTGTGGAAAATCTCTGTGAAGAGCCGAAAAAAACCTATGAGATTTATGAAAGAAGGCACGTATATCTGAAAAATTTAACGTACGTGCCCTTAGAACAACACATTTTTCCCATCTCGGCTATGCAGCATCAGCTGTTATTAATTATTATTGGAGTTCTGTTATTAATGGAGGTCTTCGATGAATTTGTCGGCGGCGATTTGCCCACGACGGCAAAAAAATATCAGGATCAATATTGCGTTTCGGGAGTTAAACGCAAAGGCTGCGGTAAATCGCAGCTAGAACAAGCAAATCCTTTCGCGCACGTACTTCACATTTCGTTTCAGCAAGATATATTTATCGGTAGCCGACCAGAAACTGATCCTATGGTCCTGCATTGAGGACAAAATGTTTGGTATTTATAGCCATAAGCGCGCATAAAGAAATATTGGCTGTAAATTATGGCCAAGGAAGCTATTCTTTTATTAAAGTCGTAATGTAACTAACTAATAACCTACACAACGCAACGTCTAAAAACGGAACATGAGACATTCTAAGGATGTCTAAAGGATGTACAAGTAAACCTTACAAGTAAACCTACCTAAAAGCTAACTTGGCACAAAAATAGAAGTACAAAAGATATTTAGGTCATACTTTGTCATTTTGACTCACTTTGAGTTTCACGGATGGTTTATAGCTTTTTAATATTCTTACTCACATCAACAATTACAAAAATACATAAGAAATAAAATTGAATACAAGATATAGTTAAATAATTTTAACAAAATCGACATAATTGAGATACGACCCATTATAAATTTCTTTAGCCGAGATTCCAACCGAAATATTTTAAATCAGTGCTGAATTAGTCAAAAATGGTTCGAATCTCGGCTAAATCGAGAAATTATTTTTATAAATAATTTTTCCAACTTTTTACATGTTTTGTTTAAGCATTTTATTATTTATACAAATACTTTTACACATTTGACTTCATATTCATAATCAGCAAACCAAAAACGCCTATATCTTGTATTCAATTTTATTTCTTACGCATTTTTGTTGTACTTGTTGATGATAAGAGTGAGAACATTAAAAAGCTATAAACTGTCCGTGAAACTCAAAATGGGCTAAAATGAAAAAATATGACCTAAATATTTTTTGTACTTCTATATTTGTGCCAAATTAGAAAGAAATAGGAGTGTAACTTTTGGGTAAGTTTACTTGTTAGAGACGTCTTTTATTCCGACATCTAAGAGATATCTTATACCTCAATTTTAAACGTTCTGTTGTGTGAGAAGCTTATATACATGTTATTACCAGTATTTTCGTGTTAGAATAATCAAAAAGTATGTAGTTGAGACTAAAAATAATTATAATTTTAGTTACATCAACTACTTTTTTCTCTCAGTGTGTTGGGATTCATCCTAATCAGGTATCTGGTTTGTACATTTGAGAATTAAGAAATTGTCCATAATTTTTGGAGAGAGTTTGTGAACTCATCGTTCTTATTCAACGAGAACATTCTCCCACTGGACAAAATGGAAAGTTGATAAACTCAACCCAAAAGTTACGGACAATTTTTTAGTCCCCGACTGATTTCTTATCGAGTCCTGAAAAGTCATCCAATGCATGCGTGGCAATCAGAATCTCTTCAATCAATAATAAGGGTTATTAATAACTAGGATCTTGTCAACAATTAAGACCTGATAATCCGATATAAAACAGATAACTAATTAGGATCAAGCTGATGAGTTTCCGGTCAGGTATCTTTGATTGCTGAAACATATCGCTCACGCCCTAATTACAGTAGCGGATCGATATTATTTCTATGTGCGAGATATTCCACATCCACCGAGTTACGCTTTAGCGACAGATTCAGTTGACCATTTTAAAGTTGAATTTAAATGTTGGGCGAAAATGTCAGGACGCTAATAACTCTTCAGTTATAAACAATTGAAAAGGGCTTTTCGCGAGACTGAATTTCGGGGAGCGAAATAGTTATCAAAACTACATTCAGCGACTAACGTCAGGCAAAAAGAGAGTTTTGTTTTGATAAAATTTTAATTTAAAGCTCGGGGGTCTTTGACTGTGCACTTTGCGCAGAATTATAATGCCAGGAAAAATAGCGTGAATTTTTTCCGCGCACTGAACGTCGGGACAAATTGGTTTCCTCGCGTTCCACAATTCGCATTCAATGCTACAGATTGCTATATATGTATGTAAAATATAAATTAAACAAACTATTCTTTTTCTGCTTAACTTTCATTAGAAAAAGCACATATAATGTGATTTACGCGCGTGTTACATTTTCACTGAAAATAAGCTTTATATTCACACATACACAACGATGTTTACGTTTTACACATTTACTTTATCTACATTTATTAATCCAAGAATCGGAAAAAAGTATTCGAGATATTTCAGCAATCTAGATTATTGAACACGAGTGACGGTACGCGGGAGAAATCTCATTTATTTCGATGTATAACACAATTTTTCACTCTTCTGATGTCATTATTTGATATAGCTGCGACGAGAAAACAAGACTTTCAGGACATAGTTATAAGAAAGTATATCGTGAACATACGCGATAAACAACGATCTCTGATATTTTTGTTGAGAAAAGATGTAAGTTATTTGGAAAACCTACTAGATTACAAGCAAACGCAACGGAAGTGAAGCATCTCTATTATCATAAAAGTATCAATATCTAGACACATATCTAACTCTAGACATTCTTATTGTTTTGATTTTTAAATACGAATATTTAAACTTTTATTATAGAATATATATATATATATATATATATATATATATATATATACGCATATATAAATACATTGAATATATAAAGTTTAAATATTCATGTTTAAAGACCAAAACAATAAGAATGTCCAGAGTTAGATATTGGTGCTTCTGTCTTCTTTGATTCCCTTTCATTTCCTTCTCAATATACATTTCGAATACTTTGAAGCGTAATACATGAAGGAATATTAGACGACGTGTGTGTGTTGGGAAGAGAAAAGAAATTAAATTAAGATCAAAGTACAAATATCTGGACGCGTACCTAACTTTGCAGCTTCTTAATTGTTTCCATCTTTAAGTGCAAATATTTAAACTCCTAACATAAAATATATATATATATGTACATTTCATGTTAAAAGTTTGAATATTCGTATTTAAAAGCCATAACAAGAGAACACTCAGCATTGGACGCGCATGTCTAGACACTGCTACGTTTTTACCTCATTCGATTTCCTTCCATTCTCCTGGCAACACGCGTCGTCTAACCTTACATTTCGAACACCTCGAAGCGTGACGCACGAACGCTGACCGTCTGGGAGAATTCCGCACGCAAGTTGTCTTCGCCAACTACTCGGCTAACAGAAAGGAAAAGGGACTCACCGAGCGGCGACTCGTTCCACGCGTCTGGCCGTCATCCTCGTAGAGCCCGTCGGCTTCGCGTTCTGCGTGGGAAGAGTTACGGCGAGTGGATCATTCCATGCCAGGAGTCCAGCGGCGCGCACCAGCCTTCGGAGCAAAAGGGAGTGTTTCTCGCGTGTCTCATGCACCAGGACGACCGTCGCCGACGAATTGAGAGACGAAACGACCGCCGACCGCCGGCAATCGAGGCTCGCGAAATGAAATTTTCATGCGCCCTTCAACCCGACACGATTCAAGCTTATAGGTCTGTTCTTTTTCGAAGAACTTCCTGAACTGGTGTGCACTGTGGTGCAGTAAGTTAGAGTGAGGCAAATATGTTCTCTTTAACTCTAACTTATTGTACCAACGTAACCCCGGAAGTTCGTCGAAAAAGAGCAAGCCTATTGGAAATTCGTCGCGCGCGAAATTCAAAAGTAACTTCGTCTTAAATTCACTTTCAGATGCTTCCCAGTCAATGAAATGATCCGTGCAGTGTCTAAAGATGAACTTAGAACGATCTTCAATATAAATAGTACCCTCAAATACATAGATGTCCGTCTTATGAGAAGTTAAGAACAAGATTAAAGGATAAGAGCCATTGTACATAAAATACACATAGCTGCATGTGCATAGCTTAAAGCCTTCTGTTAAACTTTTAAGAAAATGTGTATTTTCTTAAAAAAATATCTTATATTAAGACAAAAGTACCAATATCTGGACACGTATCTGATCCTAAATATCTTTACTGTTATTTTATCAGTCATACTTTATCAGTCTTTAAATACAAATATTTAAACTTTCAACGTATATGTGTGTATATGTTACCAACAAAATAAGAAATCTGGCATTGTACAGAATACTTAGGCATTATATATAAAATGCCTTGGCATTGTATGTGAAAACTGATAGGCATTCTGTAGAATGCCTCAGTATTCTATATAATACCTGAGTTTCACACACACACAATGCCGGTAACATATATATTCAATATATACATTTTATGTTAAAAGTTGAAACAATCGTATTTAAAAATTAAAACAATGACAATGTTATTCAGGATTAGATACGTACCCGGATATTGGTACTTTTACTTTGATATAAGTAAATATTCTACACTGAGAGAAAAATTTATTAAATTTTAAAAAATTTTTATTTGGATACAACAATGTGAACATATTTGTTCAAATTAAATAATTATCTCCTAAAAGAAGAATAAGAAGAAAGAAGAAAATTTATATTTAAAACTTTATTTAATTTTAGAAAATAGTTACTTAATTTAAACAAATATGTTCACAGTTGTATCCAAAAGACAAACGTTTTTTGAAATTTAATAAATTTTTTTCAGTGTATTAGTTGTGTGGCCACCGAATAAATATTTACTATAATAAGAGTGTTACTATAAATTTACTATAATAAGAATGGTTGGGTTAGGTGTTTAGGAATTGCTACTTTTGCCTCAACTGAACGAGAAATGTCTGGAGTCTCGTGAAAGACGAGAGAAATCGGTCAGACGAGAGGAAGCTGCGAATTCCGGCCGTCGGTACGTCAAGAACGAAAAACGTGAGCAATCGCGATTAAGTTCCTCCAATTACACGCGTTCGCGGATCCTCATCGCGGCGAGTAATTGACAGACGATCGTGCCCGTTTACGATCGTAATCATGGAATTCCCACGGTCGCTCGATGAATCGATGATAAAGCGACGGCGCGCCGGAACGTTACATCGAAAACACAGAGAACGAATAACGAAGATTATTCGTCCATGAAGAGATCGCACTCCCGGCGAATATCGCGAGCGAATGTCGTCGGGAACGCAGTCGAACGAATTTTCGCGCAGCCGGCGCGCGCGGCATAAAATATTTATCGCTCGAATCCGATAAAGAGCTCTTCATCAACACCACATTTTGACACTCGCTCTTCACGTTCACGGCAGTGACTCGCGATGACGTGACGACTCGATATACATATCTTTCCACGCCGGCCACAGTCTCCATGCCGAGCGAGGAAAACTCTCTGTCAATCGCGCGCGTCTCGTGCAATGGACGCGAAAGATTCGACCGGTTAGAGTCGCAAGATGTGTCGCTCTCATCATGACCGATGTTCATGACCAGCGGGGTCGGTGTCGAGGGTATCGCTCGGATTTTCAAACGACCGTCGCGGCGTGTCCTCATTTTTGAGTCCGGGCTTTTTCACTTGGCGCGCGTTCAAGATCGGATCGATATAAACGGCAACGTGCTTGCAAATGTCCTCCTCCTTCGCGGGAAAGAACGCGCCGAATTCTGTTCACATCTCCCACACCTACCAAGTGTCCTCCCGACCGGAGTTCGCGACTCGGTGCTTGAAAAATATTGAAAACCCATGGCAGTAGCGTCGAAACCACATCATCGTTCGAATACGATATACATATAAAAATCGATGAAGCCCACCTCCCCTCTCCCCGCTTTTTTCCTGCACAATTCGCGATTGCTAATATTTTTCCACTATTTTCAACTTTCGTTGCGTTCATGCAAAATTCAACACTGCTGATAGACACACTTTTCTGAATATGTTTCAAGCATCGTATAGTATGGCGAAAGCACGTTAACAGAAGAAATATCTGAGAAATAGTTGATATTTATTCGGTGGTTATAAATAGCATATATTTACTTATATTAATATAAAATATTTTCTGAAGAGAAAATGTACATTTTTTTAAAAGCTTAAGAGAATCGCGGCTTTCCTTGATGGCAATATTCTCAAAATATTATTTAAACAAAGAAATTTAGTTTAGAGTAACCAGGTTATCAGTACCCAGCATAAATAAATGTTTACTAATTTTAGGCAATTCTTTTCTCTCACTATATACCAATTCCAGACATTCTTATTATTTTGGTGTTTAAATGTGGATATTATAACTTTCAACGTAAAAAAATATATATATACTCGTAATTAAGAAACAAAACAATAAAAATGTTTAAGATTAGGTATTGATACCTTTACCTTACACTTCAATCGCGAACCGTAATCACTGAGCGTTGTGCAGTTTGTAAAATGATCAGCCGGGAGGAAAATAATTTTGCGTCATTTCCACGATTACAATCAATCAACTTTTAAAATCCTTACTCGCAAAGCTCGATTGCCTTGACTATCGAAGTTAGATTAAGTTAGATTACATTTCGAACTATATCGAAGTTAGGTTACATTCACAGTTGGTTTTTCATTGTTTTTGGAAAAGATACGGCCAAGCAACGATTTTGATTCGCGCAACAGAAATGTGATTGATTTCGTATTTCGATTCAAGAGATCTCGAGGCAGAAGTCATAATAATAAAATGTTCAGGAATATTCGAATTATTCCCCTCCCGATCGTTCCCGTCATACCACTCGCCGGCTTTCAATGAGCGCAGACTTTGACAACAAACATCTGTAGCTCGAGAGAATCATCGGCCTTAAAGGTCACGTGTACAAATGCGGAGACGAAGGAAATTCCGGCGATCTTATCAGTCGAAAACTATCTCAGCACATCCCGGAAGTGTCCGAATTAATTATCTGACATGATGCGCGTAAACAAAATTGCCGGCGGCCGACGGGCAGGTTGCTCGCCGTGGAATCGGACGATTTCAAAGCAACGATCTCAGAGGCGAGCGAAAAGGATTAGAGAGACTGAAGCCTGTGTACAATGCGTTCTACTTGCTTCCTGTTCCTCTTCTTTCATCTGACTAGAACCTTTAGTCCAGATCTACGGTGTGCTCTTTGCACTTCCTGTTTCCTTCTCTTTATTTCTTTCTGACGTAAACTTCAGGCCGGGCAAAGATGGAGAAACAGGAAGCGCATATTGCAGATTTGACTTTGGCCCGAGGAAGATAGAGAACGAGAAACGTGAAGCAACGAGCACGCTACAGATCAGGCTTGTAAGAGAGCTTTGGTTTTTACCGCGAACTTCCGAGATCGGCGAATCTCGCGCGCGAAGGACGAGCGAAAGAACGAATTGTACCAACGTAAAGACGCGCTCGCGCGACTTTCAATTCGCATGCATACCAATGTCAACGTAAACACCGACCGACGGCACCGTGCAAGCGAACAGGTATTCAGAACAGGCTGGTGGATGAGTACACGCGCGACCCGTTTGTGATTTTGAACGGCCGCTCTTGTGAGAATTCGTCTCTTTCGCTCTTCCCGTTTCCCTCCCGCCCCTTTCACCGACTCCTCTCTCACTCTCTCTCTCTCTCTCTCCCCTTCTCTGCCTGCTCCGCGAGACGCGCGAGTGAGACGGACAGATGCGCGTCCTTCGGCCGCACTCTCGCTCCAGTCGGAGCACGCGACCTGTCACCGTGCACCCGGATAACACAGCGTAACGGCTCCCCGTGCACGACGCGAGAGACAAACGAGAAACCAGGGTACGTACGTGGAGACGCAACCGTGCAGCAGTCGGAGTCCTCACAGGACTCTTCCTCTCTGTCTGTCACAGCACTGGGCGACGGCGACGGCGACGGCGACGGCGACAACGACGACGGCGGAATTTCCGGAGCGACTCCGAGACGTATGTTTGCTGCTGCAACCCCGCGGGCGAGCGTGCGAGCGAGCGATCAACCGATCGACCGAACCGGCCGTACCCTGAAAGGCGACTGCAGCTCTGAACACCGCGCCGGTGTCGCGAGTGGGGAGCTCGGCCCTCGCTCCGTCTCGCTCCCACTCTCGCCTACGGCGCGGGCGCTCTCCGCCTCTCGCTCCCCCCTCCCACCTTCCACACAGCACAGTAGCGCTCGAAAGAGCGGCCAGCGGGGACGCCGCGAGTTGGCGCGTCGATCGCCAGCTGGCGCCACCGTATGCTTCACGACCCCTTCTCGCAATGTTACGCAGCGCGCCCGCTACTACAACCAGAGATATAGTAACAGACCGAAATCGGAAGAGATTTGTATAGTACAGAGAATAGTTCATTAAGAGGAGAATGAGAGCAAAAGAACATCAACAAACAAAAGTTTGGAATAGTGCAAGCAATGTGTCGTATGACTATTTTATTCCACGGGGGAGGCTGGAGACACGCGGCGATAAAGTCGCTAAACTTCTTCAAAAAAAAATAAAAATCATATTTTTTTCTACATATATTTCTCCAAAAACATATTTTCTTATACTCAACATTAATGTGTAGAATAATAAAAAATTGTATCTTATTCTCATCAATTCTTCGTATCTTTCCTCATTGTAGAAATTCTATATATATATGTGCATGTATGTATATGTATATGTATATATGTAGAAACTAAGCATATTCTCAAAACTTTATCAGCCAAGATCAGAGGTAGAAAGAGACGAAAGCCTAGTGCCGTATCTGTTCCTTTCTCTGAATCGTGCGATCGAGTGCGTTGAGAAAGACAGAGATGCGGTTTTCGCTTTCCCTCTTTTTGCGAGGTCTTATACCCAATCTATTTGTTGTGTTTACAATAATAACAAAGTACTTATATCTTCGTTTCGATATTTCGAGTGCTGATACTATCGAGCGTCAAACCTGCTGTAATCAACATGTTATTCTCAATGCGCACATATCTTGTCAAAGCGCAATTTTTCTCTTTCTCTCTTTGATACTTGGTTCTATTTTAGTAGTACGAGACACGAATAGTACGAGTTGTATGTCTATAATGAACTTGTTACTCTCTATTTCGACGATTATATTTCGACAACGTTGTTTTCAATTCTTGTTATTGATTTCTCTCGCGTATAGAAACGTAAAAAATTGTATTGCTCATACAAAAATGACCGAGAATTCATTTACTTTTTTTTCTAAATAATTAAAAATCTACAATGTATCTTCAAAGACTAGGATCTTATATAATTTGTTTCAACTCTCACACACACACACACACGCGCGTGAGCGCACACATGCAGCACACACAGAGAAAATTTCGTAATAAAATTTATCTTTATTATTATGTGAATGAACGCTTTACATATGGCTGATGTTTAACGTACGGTGCAATACCGTAGATACAGTAAAAATTATACGAAATCGTACAGATAACGAAGAACTGACAAACGTTAAAACAAAAGAAAAATGACCGGAGCGAAAATAAAAAAAATTCAGCACGTTCTCTCGCATACGCTAATAAACTTTCGGGCGTCAAACTGCCTCTATTATTATCTCGCGTTATTTTACAACAGTCGAGGCCGGACCTTCGAATCTGCAAAACAAAACTTAACAGTCTATAATCTGGCTTTACCGAAACGAAAGCCTCGTTTACATTCCCGAAAGAACTCCAGTTTGTAAAACACAATGCTCGTTGACGTGGAAATTTCTACACTCAATTAGAAACGCTATATACAGTTGTATCGATCAGTCAAACTTTCAAATGTCCAAACTCTTATCAGATCTCTCTATACCGTTACAACAGTGACTCTAACAGGTGAAAAGCGCAAAGTATCTCGGGACTCATAAATGTGCGAAGAGATCGATGTATCTAATCGGCAGCAGATCGAGAAGACTGGAAACTTGATCGTTCACCTTTGCACCATACATATTTGGCCGAGTGGTCACTCAAAAACTAACGCAGCAAGTCGCGAAGGTAAATATCGCTCCGTTCGATTATTTTGTTGTTTCATCGCTCTGACGAATTTCGTCGATAAGGAAATCTTTACTGCTTAATCCAAAAATATATGTGCTCTCGAAACTCACCATACGCTAAGATATAGAACGTGTGCAACACATTTAAAATATACCGCAACTCATATACGAGAATAAGTCATGAACTGAACGTTACGCACATGTCGTACCATACGTCGTGAAACAAGTTATCGCTCATGAGTGTGATTGTGTGATTATAATAATAATAATAATAATAAAAGAGAATGTCACGCTCTTTTGGTGCGACACTTAAGAAAAGTAAGACGAGACGATTCAAGGCGATGGCGACTCAATACAAAGCATCGATAGTTTCGTCGTCGGTGTGTCGTAAGTAATCGAGATGATTGATCGAAGACACTTCTGCGTGCCTCCAGATACCTCCAGCGGTTTTCACAATGTTCGTCAATTGCAAACTGTACCAAAGACTGCGTCTCTCAGAGCGAGCCATGCTATAACGCATCGCTCGCGAAACACTACAAATTTACTACGCGTCTCCTAAAATGGACTCTCTCTTACTCTTCGCTTCCTCCTTCCTTCCAATCCCTCCCTTCCTCTCTCACACATTCTCTTTCACTCTCTGTTTTTCCTGTTTGCCAATTGTATGATGTTCATCTATCTTTTCATTCATTTCTTTTTTTCATCTCTTTACCTATATTAAATTATATCAATATCTGTTTTATTTATATATCTATATATCTATATATATATATATATATATATTTATATGTATCTATATATATATATCACGCCAGCCTCGCTATCGATTCAGTAATGTAGGTACACTTTGTCAACGATCACTCGACCGCTCGCTCTCCATTCGTCCCGTTCACCCATGAATCTCGAGATGTACGTCAATTGTAATTTTGTAATAAATGTTACTGTAAATTATGCTGGCTTCTGCGAACCCTTCTTGCCAATCAGCGATTTATGGATATGTGGAATGACACCTGTAATCAAACAACAACGTGTAAAACGAGAGGAAAAACCATAACAATCGAATGAGAAAAAATAAAAAAAAAACAATATGAGGCGCTCAAATTACCGGCCATTTCCAAAGTTACAGTAAATTGATGAGAAGCATTATAACAAGAAACATACCTCCTCCTGCAATAGTTGCCTTAATGAGACTATCTAATTCCTCGTCACCACGGATGGCAAGTTGCAAATGTCTAGGTGTAATACGTTTGACTTTCAGATCCTTTGACGCATTTCCCGCTAACTCCAAGACCTGTGCAAAAAGAAAAATTGTAATACAGTTTTAAATCTTGCACAATAGTGGAGGAAACGCATATTTGGAACATAAACAATATCCATCAAAATTTTTATGCAGCGTTGTTTTTGTCGTAAGGTGAATTATACTATCATTTCAAAAATATAAAAATTAAGGTTGCTATTGTTGCGAGGCAATTGATCGATCAAAATAGCAACATGTAAATTATGAAAATTATTGTCACTGATGTCAATTGAAGCATTTTTATATGGTCATCTCAATTTGTGATATAAAGAAAGAGTCAACGTATATATCTTGTTCAAAAGTAACGGCGGGAAAACCGACCATGTTGTTTTAACGACGACTTCACTGCGCATGACGCAACGAGTTATAACGACGAATGTTCTCTTCTATCACGTCTGCACTTAGACCTTTTCTTTTTCTCTATCATTCCTCGGGTCTTCTCTTTCTGAATTTATGGCAGCGCAAGCGCCATTACATGTTAATATCTAATTATTTGATACATTTACACGGCAAATAATATACAACGATTTTATGACAATTAATTATTAATTGCAACGATAATGGACAATTTAATGACTAAATACTATAATATCCATGTTTGCAAGCATCCTGATAATTACTAGCTGAAACAATATTCCCATCCCTTTGACATGTTTTCCCTAGTCAATTTTTCGTTTCCACTTTTACAATTATTACCATCAATTACTTAATACTCTGCACATTTGTTATTCGTAATATTCTGCTGCTCTTAAAACATTCCTCCTACAGACTAGTGTTTCTCTCAATCATCTTCATCTTCCCATCGAGAGCTTTATATTGTTGTCTTAACTTAACTCCATAAAACCGTTTCCTTTTTCTTGCCCTGCTTCTCTAATATATCATCATGTCACGATTTGTATCCGATATTCACAATCGATCGTTATGGTGGGGACATTAGCTTGAACTCGATAAATAGAATCTCAGTCTCCATCTCTGTTCCAGTGTCAGTTACAATTTCTCTTCTCTTCCCACTCCTTCCTTCTTCCTTGCCGTCTCGCGCTTTTTCTATCCACCGTTCCTTCGTGCCTCTCTCTTCTCTCCCTCTCTCTTGCTCGCTCACTCACTCACTCACGCACTCACTCACTCACTCACTCACTCATTCGCACATGTGTGCTCACCTCGGCCGTAAGGTATTCCAAAATGGCCGCGCTGTATACCGCCGCAGTAGCGCCCACTCGGCCATGACTGGTGGTTCTGTTTTTCAAATGCCTGTGAATTCTGCCCACGGGGAACTGCAACGATAAGCCACAATTAGTCGCGCTTCCTCACCCTGGGCGCGAAAGATCGCGAAGCCGAAGTACGAAATGCGAATCGGCGCGCGCTCCGACGGTACATTTCTCGCGAAATAGCGAAACGGTTAAACTGACGTTGAAGAAATGTATGTGATGTATACATGATATATGTATAGGGGAAAACGTCCAGTATAGCCGGCACTCATTACAGCACTCTTGCTCGGATTTTATCATCAAACATTAAAATTTATGAGGATTTATTAATTATTTAGCAATTATTAATTGCTATTTATTTATTCGTTACCTTTTAAAGCTTGTTACCTTTTAGGGCTTGTTTACAACACGCGGAGCAAGCTTGGCGCAAGTTGGACTAAAAAATAAAATAAATTTATTTCGCTTAGACTTATACTTCAGCTGCTTTACGCCACAAATTTTTCTATCTAGATAAATACTTCCAGTGTGAAAAAGCTAAAGTTTAGACGTATATATAAAGTGAAATACATTAATTTTTACTTCTGCTCTTCATACGCTAAGCTTACTCCATATATCGTAGACGAGCCTTCACTCTTTTTCTATTATTGACAATGGAGCGCAATGAGAAGCTACCAATGAGAATGCAATCGTACATTCTGTACCGTGCATGTAAAACGGATGATACGCAGGAAAATGCAAGTAGTAAAGGTTCGTTTACAATATGCACAGAGTGAGCTTGGCGTAACTTGGAGTGAGAAATAAAAATAACTTCTTTCGCTCTCTTACCCTCCCATCCCTCCATATTATAGCTTCCATACACCGGAAGTATTTCTCTTATTTAAGAGAAACTTGCTTGTTCCAATTTGCGACAAGTTTACTCCGCGTGTTGTAATGTCAACCTTAAAGCTTGAGCAGTAAGCAAATTGACCAATCACGGTCAATGATTCTTCTCACAGTTGAAGAATAATCGATTGCGATTGGTCAATTTTCTTACTGCTTACACTTTTCTGTATGCCATCCGCTTAAGCCAAGAAACTTTTGCATCACCATACTTGGCGCGTCTCTCGTTGTTCGCGCTGCAATATTACAGAGTATCGGTCATGAATCTTTTCCCTTGGCATGAACTCGTGAAAAGTGAAAAGTGAAAAGTTTCGCTGATGAATTCAACGAAACTTTTCACTTTCCACTAATTCCTACGAGGAAAAAAATATCCAAAGCAGAAAATCACGATAACGTCAAAATGACTATAGCTGCGTGTCCCATGATACATATATACGCAAATTTTCTACAGTATACGTAACACGACTATAGATAAATGCGTACATATGTGTATTACGGGACGCAGTTTACAAAAACTCACTTTTTGCGATTATACCATTTCATTACGATAACGTAAACATGATTTTCCTTTATTCCTGGAATTTGTCGAGACAGAGCGTGGCAAAAGGTCTGTTCTTTATAAATTGCGAAAAACAAAAATTAATTTGTAAGATAATAAAGTTTATTCGCAGAAATAGAATTTACTTCGCAGAAATAAACTTTACATCTTACGAACAAACTTTCAAGTACTTTTTCTCGATATGGCTGCACCTTCTGATTGAACTATCGTGCAATCAATCTTTCTACTTCCCTTCTCCCTTCCAGCGAATATCAATATGAATCTATTTCACTTCAACGGCGCTGACCGCCGCAGTGTGACGTCAGGGAACTTTGATCCCGAAGCCATTTCTAAAACTTCAGGTCTCATTTCAATATGTTAATTAACTGTAACTCATTGTTCGCACTGTGTTGACATATTGAAACAGAGAATTCTCCTCGTACGTCGGCTACACGAGACAATTCGAATTTGGCAGTCGACGTATTAAGGTGCAAACAACACAGCTAGTGCAGCTGTAAAGAACAGACGATAAAATGCGAAAATGCGAGATTGGCGAATATATGCTGCAAACGTTCGTACACTCAAACATGCTCACCGAGGCGGTATTCCATCCACGCCAAGTACACACTCGTCGAGTTCGGTAGCGGTAATATGCAAAAAGGAACAGCTCGTGGTAGCAAACATGTGGTCGGAAACGTGTGTAACGCACGCGCGCGCACATACGGGAGAAAGCATATGGTTTTCTCATCGAGGGGAGAGCGTAAGACAATGCGAACACTGGCCTGGTAAATAAAGTTAAATGCTATTCCGTAAATTAGCAGAATGAACGATAAACGCGCGAGCGAACGAGAGAGAGAGAGAGAGAAAGCTGCCCCTAATATTAGCGGAAACATTTGAACGGAATGTCACCAGGTAACATTCTACGCGGGATGCTTCACGTGTGCGAATAATATTCGTAGAATGGGCACAGTGGTGAAAACAATAACAAAAAAGCAGGTAGTATTTCTCTAAAGCTGCTCGCACGAGTTAGAACACGCGTTCAGTCGCCTCGTTTTTCTCGCGTGTAAATAAAGACCAAAAAAAAGAGAAAAGAAAAAAGTTTGCACACGCGTACCACTGTTTTCGCGTTTTATCTGTATCATGAATTCGCACCGACGTGCAGAACGACATCGACAGCAAGGAACGGTTGCCGTGAGCGTCGGGACGCAGAATTTGTGACGCAATGCGCGCGTTCGCATGACTATAACGAGCATAACTCTACCGTTCGGAGAGTGTTTCGCAGTAAAGAGTAAAAAAGAAACTGCGAAAAGCTTCGCACGTACACGCGCAACAAAGACAAATCAAGAAAACAAGAGAAAAAATTTCGTAAATAACATTTGATCTGTGCGTAGTATTTGCAGCGCCCCGCTCTCTCTTTCTCTCTCTTTTCCCCCTCCCTCTGGTTGATGTATTCACAGTTACTACGTTCAGGGGCTACAAGAATGATAAGGCAGACGCTGGTTCCTGGACGAAAAAAACATGATTTATTTCTCTGAAAGCTGGGAACGTTGAAAAATTACACTCAACGGCCAGCGATACTTCATTATTACTCCCGGGAGCCTCGAAATCCGCTCTCGAAAGAATGCCTTAAATAGTTTGCCCGAAAATCGATTTGCCACTTCCCGCGAAGAGAGTGTGAGAGTATTCCCAATGTGGTGCGGGGGAGTAACAAACGTTAATTGACAATAAATCATTACTAATCGAGTCGATAATGTCGGCGGCAACAACAGTTCAAGTCGGCTGATTTGGCGCGTCGACTTCCTCTCCGGGAAAGAGTTCACGGTTTCCTCTCTATGTAAGCGTGAGCATGAAAAAAACAAGAAAAGCGCGAAGAAATTCTTCATTACCTGCGCGCGTCGGCGTATCTGTTTCTATGTTATTTACAAACAGCCGCTCGCGCGATACAGACACGAGGAAGTCGACGTCCTCCTCCTCCTTCTCCGGAGAAGTTTTCTTTTTCCCCGGGCTTTTTTTCGTTCGCGCGTTCAGCCCCCGACCGGTGGCTCCTCGACGCGCGCGTCTAGTGACTTCTGCCGGAACTTCCGCCGCCGCCGCTGACGGCGGAGACGGCAGGGCCGATGTTTTCAGGACGGCGCGCGCCTACTACCCGTTCGCGCAACGTTCGCCCGTCGATCGCGGCTCTCGTCGGCTCGGCACAGCTCTCGGCCGGGGCGGGTATCGAACGATAACAGATGACATGAATCTCGCCATGTATATGCGCGAGATGTTTCACGAGCGAGTGTCTGTCTGTCTGTCTGTCGGCCTGTGTCGAGATCGTGCGTCGTCTTCCACGGGACATCCGGATCTTTCTCTCGTCACGACACGCCGCGTCAACGCGAACATTCCGTCTGCTGATTCCGGCATTCCGGATTCTTCCCGATATTCTTCTCCCGGGAGCGGGAAAGTGCCGGGAACACGCGTTCGCGCGCGAATATCCCAAACAACGACCCGTCCTCACGCTGCGCGAATATCGAGCGGTACGATTTGGACTGCTCGTTCGCTCTCTCTCTCTCTCTCATACACGCACTCTCTCCTCTCCTCTTTCCCACTCACCCTGCCTGTCCATCTCTATCCCTCCCCTGCCTTCCCCTCTCTCTTTCTCTCGCTCGCTCCGCCATCGTCTCTCCAGCTTTTGGCACAAAGTTTCATCATCCACAACGCACGTCCCGGGACACGCTCGAGAATCTCGCGAACGGAGAGGCTCGCGCCCTGAAGGCGCCTCCTCGTGACCGGGAGATTCAGCAGTTTCGGAGAAAACTCCGACTGCACGAGGCAACGCGATATTCTCAAGTGGCCGACTCTCATTTGTCGACTCGCCCGCCTACCCTGCTGCTCGCCGTCCGTTCGTTCGTTCGTTTGTTTGTCGCGCGCGGTCGATATTGTTACACAATGATTTTGTCGTCGCAGTTGATGCGCAACGAGAGGCGATCGCGCGTTCGTCACGTTCAGATATGCCGTCGCATTTTCACTGGGGATTATTGTTACCGGCGTAAATCGTTGAGGTCACGCCGGTGAAACCGCGAAACACCAGTCGACACTACACGACCGGCCACTACGGGGATCGAAATAAGCACGAACTGCGTCGTTTCGACTTATCACCACTGCACCACGCGTTTACGACACGACAACCGAGGCTTTTGTTTCGCACGTCCATATATTTGCCGGATGATATTGCGTTGCATTACGTTACATTGTGCAAAGTATCACGCACTCGTAACCGTCACGAATCTCGCTACGTTTGATCTTCAAATGAGCTTATATTCTGACGGGCTGTTTCTCTCTCTCTCTCTCTCTCTCATACTTACACACACTCTTCCTCTTTCTCACTCCCTCTCTCTTGATCAGTCAGGCATCTTTGTTCCCTTGGAGCCACGATCGTTTCACAAGTATAGAATCACGACGTTCGCTGGGACGAAAAGCATTGCATACCAATCGATACTCTAAGACAATTAATTCACCGTACACTCGCGTGTATTCATACGCACACGTTTGAGGTTAATTAATCTACTTAATGCCGCTATATGGGATATCTCTGGATATCCCATCTCGCAGACGCGCTAATCTTCTCGAGAGCATATGTGTGTGTGTGTGTGTGTATGCGCGTGTGTGTACGACGCGCGCACAATGTCAAACAGATCTTATTTTCTAGTGGTGCATTTTCTAAAATACGTCACTGACGACTCTCTCTTTATCCATCTATTTCTCTCTCACACACACAGGTGTCTACTCGGGCTCCCTGTTCGCGAACAGGCCGCGTTTGGCGCTGAATTAGCTAAATGTGACTGTGCGCGACCTTTCGCGGCTAAATAAAATCCGACCGTATGTTTATAACGTCAAGTGCGAAACGCGGAACACACGTTTCAGTTAATAATCGACAGCGTCTCGATCGCGGCCGAGTGTGTCACACGAGAATTTTAATCGCGATAACGGAAATTCACGACACCCGACGTCGATAACGCGTTAAAGAACAGGCCCCGATTGTCGGTGTTCCTGCGCGAAGAGCGCGAACACGACGCACACTGATGTCAGTTGAATCACAGACGTAGCTTCTTCTAAAAGCAGCACTTTCGACGAGAGTCTGTACGCGCTTTCGACCGGTGCTTCGTAAAATCGTCCGAAAGACATACACATACACATGAGCGTTCATTAAGCTTTATCCCAGTCGGCTCAAACGGTAACCCGTGATCGACACGATTTGCTCTTTCCTCGATTTTCCGTCATACATGATGTCAAAAGTGCGACACTTTTCGACGAGAACAGTCATCGAGTCGTTTCACGAAAAGCAAAAAAGAGTATTCGCAATAAATACCATCATTGCTGACCACACACAAGCACGCGCACATATATACACACACACACAACAAGCGCGCATCACATATAACACGCACGCACCACACATACGCACTCAGCAGGCAAGTAGGCAGATACACGTTCGAAACGTTGCGCATTACGTAACTGCGATTTTGCTCAATGATATTTTGTAGTGCGAACCGCCGGAATATTTCTTTCGCGAAAACTGCATTCCATGTCATGTAGCAGGCATTTCTTCGCACGAAGGCGGACTGTGGCTCGCTCCGGAACGATTTTCTGCCGAACGCGCGAAGCGGTGCGACGATGCTTTCTTTTGATGTCGCACGTCTAAGAAGGAGAGGCGAACGACGAGCTGGACATTCCCCGATTACATCGCACCGGTGATCGGCGATCCATTCGAATTCGCGAATTGCGCGCCTCCCGCCGGTTCGATCGGCTGCGTGCTGAATCATAGGATTCTGTGCACATCAAGATAAAGAGAGAGAGAGAGAGAGAGAAGGAAAGAAACAAAGAGAGAGAGAAAGAGTTCCAGCGACGCAAACCGAATTGGCGCGATCGAGTTGCAACTCGAGCGGCAAAAATTAATTCTCGATTTACGACGTGTTATCGAACTCGCCGTGAGCTGGAATATTCGCACCGGGAGGACGATCCCCCGGGACGAGCAGTTCAACTGCACGGCGACGAAGCCGCTCCGTCGGAGCTCGCACGTTTGAAAACCGTTGTATACCGCATGTGATCGTTTCTCTTTCTTTCTCTCTTTCTCCCTCTCTGTCACTCATTCAGTCGCTCGCTTGCTCGCTCGTTCGTTTACTCACTCACTCACTCACTCACTCACTCACTCACTCGCTCACTTGCTCGCTCCAAGTGTCCAGCCGCGTCCGAATTCAAAAAATAAATCGCCTCGCACGAGCGTTTCTCGAAAGTTCGGCATGGAAGCGAGAAAAAAGCGACACCGTCGCGCGGCGTGTTATCTCTGGGCGAGCCAGGGCCACCGAGAAGCGGCTTCCCCAGTCGCCGCGACGGTAACTCGGCGAGTCATCGGCCGGGATACTTTTCGCGCCAACGACAACTTAACCTGCCTCGACGAGACCGCGAAAACCGGGCATCCGCACACGACGCACCGTACGAAACGCGCAACACCATCGATTCCGCACGCACACGGTCGTTTCCGTCGCGAGAGCGAAAGCTGGATAAAGAGAGAGAGAGGGCCAAGCCCCGTTCCCTCGGCGTCGACTCGACGCGCGACTCACCTGCAAGCCGGCCCTAGCCGAGCGCGAGACTGCCTTCGCCTTCGCCTTGCCGGCGTCCTTGCCCGCCTTTCCGCCAGCCTGTTCCGACACGAAAATCACAATTAATCCGCACGATCCGCTGACGAAAACCCGGCCAGCGTGTAGCCGAGGATCCGCGGCGCACGAGGCTGCCCGCAGCGCCGGCCGATGGCCGTCGGCCGCGTCGAAAACTCGCAGATACTCACCATTGTGCTACGTGGGACCTCGTAGTTCGCTCGACACGCAGTGTTACGGACAACCGCGGATGACGCCGTCTAAGCGACGAGCCCGCCAAATGCGCTTGGCGCTGCGAGCGCGCTCGCGGTCGCGCCACGTGACCGCGCCGCGGCCAATGGGAGCGGAGCGGTGAGCGCGAGTGGCGCCGCCACGCGGCCCGCACCGAGCGGACTCGTCGTCCGCCGTTTTACCGCGAGCGCACGACCCGACGTCTCGCCGGAACTGACGCTCTCTCGTAGCCTGTGCGCGTCTCGCGCATGCGCCACCGATTCTCAGCGAGCGAACGTTCGTCGTCGTCGTTGTCGTCGTCGTCGTCGTCGCTACTGCCGCTACTGCTGCCGCTGCCGTCGACGGCGTCGTTGTCGTGCTCTCTCGTCGAGACTGGGCTCTGTGCGACAGTACCGTGCTCGCGTGAACAAAAATCATGTAAACAGAGACGAGAATATGGAACGTTTCTAAGGGCCATTTTTACCGAGTTCTGGGTATCATTCGTGAATCTCTTCACGTGAACTCAATCTTATTAATCATGTAATTTTATTCCCTAGTATGAAATCATGAAAAGTAATTTTTCAGAGTACTTGGAAGCAATCATGTATCGTTCCCTACAATAAACTCGTGAAAAATGAACATTTCCATATATCTTCAAGGTCAGATTTTTCACTTTTTACGAAATCACGCTAGGAGAAAAGATTCATGATTAATCCCCCCGGTTGAACTAACTGTTTTAGTAACCCTGCAGGATTCCAACTGAAGCTGCTGTTGGAGAAAAAATAGGAGGAATTATGTGAACTAAATGTGAACTAGTAATACTACAATAAGCATAAAAGTATACGTCCTGATCAAATTTTCCATCATATTAGGATATTAATATAGCTTTACATTTAGTTGCGGCGTCATCACACACACACAATCTACATTTTTATAACTCTTTACTTTCCATTTTTTTTCTCCAACAGCAGTTGGAATCCTGCAAAGTTACTAAAATGGTCAGTTAACCGGAATTTGGTAAAAGTGACCCCAAGTGGCCACTTATAATACATAGAATAAGCTTGACGTAAAAAAAGTAAGAATAGGAGTAAAAAATAAAAATTATTTATTTATTTCTTTTATGTCTATACTTCAACTCCCTCACGCCGAAAGTCTTTCTGTCAAATAAATACTTTCGGCACAAGGATGCTAGAGTTTAAATGTATATGTAAATAAAGTAATTTTGTTTTATATTTCTTATTCTTACTTTGTACGCTGAGCTTGCTCCACATATTGTAGACGAGCCTTTACGCGCGCGGCTCTTTTGCCCGTCGGCGTCTTGCATTCACTGCAAGAAATTGGGATACTGAGGGATATTGAGACGCGTTCTAGTCCAATGAAAAGCTGCATCGTTGGCTTCGACGTTTGGAAAATGAAGGCCTTTGAGTCCCAGTTGTTTATCTTGGAAACTTTGCGTTTTCTTAACTCGCGGAGGGAAGAAGTATCGAATCAATATTAAGGATATTTCTAAGGGAGAAGCAGTTTTCCGCGAAGAAAATTAGATTATATGCTATCGCTGATGCAATTAGAAAATTGACAAAAAAAAGTTATTTGTTTTTAGGATGAGCGAAATGTAACTCCATAACTGTAACAAAATCGAAAAGCGTTCTGCTATACGACGTAGATAAGAAATTAATTCAAGTATCTCTGGTTTTAGAGATGTGTGTCGTATCTTCAAGGACTGTAACCGGTAAACATCAACTATCAGTAAGACAACGTCAATATTGTCATTTCCCGCTCAACAATGTAAATGCAGTATAACATGTTAAGTAACGATTATATATTATATAATCGAGCGAGAAATTTTAATCTTGATGTGATGATGTTACTGTTGGTTCCTGAATAAGGATCTTAATCCTGGACTACCTGGATAAGGATCTTAATCCTGGACTTCTTAGATAAGGATCTTAATCCTGGACTTTCTGAGTAAGGATCTTAATCCTGGAAACATGGATAAAATTCAACTAGATCAATTTTTTAAAAATGTGTTTCGCTTCTCTAATATAACTTTTCTCAACTTCATTAAATCGCGAAAACATGAATTCATATTCCTCAACGTTTTCGATTGTAAAACAGAAGAGGATTGAATTTCAATCATTTTTCCGGAAATTATAAACAAAAAATGTGCTGTGTAGGATATTATCTATATTTAGAGTTTACATCATTTTCTCATGTTTAAGATTCTGGGATTAATCCTTCCGTTACTAATTTTGTTTTTTAAACTTTTTTTATCTTTTTTTATTTTTTTCTTCTTTACTTTTTACTTTATTAAATACATTAATATAGCTTTAGCAAAAAAATTAAAAGTTTCATGTTTGGTGCCAAAGGAGGTGTCCAGTGAAGATGTCCTACTAGGGTTTTTGGGAGATCATGTTTGTCCCAACAGTAACAAGTAGAGTAACAGCTGATATGTTCTGAACACAAAAAGCTGTTTATTTAATTAAATAAGATTATTATCAATAGTAACGGAATATCCCGTTGGTGGCTAAAGGGTTAAGGATACATCGGGACTCAAAGGGTTAAAAGCGACGCATTGCAAAGTGTGCGGCAGAAATACGCAATTTTGTTATCGATTTCACCAACAATTCTCCTTATTCGTCGAGCGTACGATTATTTACGCAACTATTTTGTGAGCGTACGATTATTTACGCAACTATTTTGTGTGATTACAAGCGCAGATAACAAGCTCCGAGATGTCGGGCATGTGAGGCAATGCTGCAGACAAAACGGATCTGACACGGTCATTAATGTATGCAAACTATTGTGTCAGCAACAGTATCTCTCCAATAATCGTTGCAGCACGCAACACGCCGTGAAATTGCATCGACAAAGTATCATTGACGATGAAATTCTTGCGCAGTAATATTGATTCGTGCGAAACCGAGCTCCGCGCGAGGTAACGTGGAGAGTTGATTTTCCACGAAGTGCATTTCCATTTCGCGCAATAATAAATCGAAATGCACAAAACAGCGCATGCGTGGCAGTTGCACACTGCAGTTTCCGATAATTAATTCCGATAATAATTATCAAATGCATAACGCGCGTCTCTGGCATGTTATGAGAGGACAAGGCGGAAAACAGCGCAATCGTGCAAGCTCGAGTAATGAAAACGCTGGCGGACAGGTGAATGGCTTTTCTTTTCATTTCTTTTCCCTTTCTTTTTTGTGAAAAAGAAACTCGCTCGAAGTAACAGCGTTGTTTCTCTTTATTGGCAGAAAAAAGAGGCAGTGATTTCATACAAAAGATCGCACATGGAAAATGCGTGCGCGGCGGGTCGGGAAACACGCGGATTTATGCTACAAAAACGAACGCGGACGAGCCGGGCACCCTTCTATCGCGAATCCTCTTTACATTCAGCGTGACGAGTTGGCGAGCGACGTACTTCCAAACAGCGAAACCTCCGAAAAAAAAAGAAGAAAAAAAGACAAATTTCCACAGAGAATCAACGTCGGACGACGAGGAGCGAACGACACGCACGTGAATATCTCAGTTGATGATGTATACTTGCGGCTTCGCGTTCACGTGGAGTCTCCCAGACTTTTAAATGCGCTCTCGTTTCTCTCTTCGCGCACGGATATTTCTGATCACGCGGATACCCGCGGAGAACTTGCGGCGTCTCTGCGAGCGACGAACGGCCGAGTGCCCTCGAGTGCATAACTCGCACGATAATTAAAGTCTAATCTACAATTTTGCTTTTTGCTTTCTGTTTCTTGTTCTCTGTCTTTTTTTAGTTGAAGGCTTAAGGTGTGAGTCAGAAAGAGATAAAGAAAAAGAAACAAGAGACAAAACGACACATTGTAGATCAAGCTCAAAGGTTGGAGTCAGAAAGAGATAAAAAGAAAGAAACAGGATTTACAAAAAACACATCGTAAATCAAGTTTAAAAGTCCGGATACACAGAAAAACTTAAGCAGTAAGAAGATTGATCAATCATAGTTGATTATTCCTGAACCGTGGGAAGGATCATCGACAGTGGTCGGTCAATTTGTTCACTGCTCAAGTTTCGCTGCTTACGTTTTCCTGTTGCGTTGTCGGCCTAACCCTTTGATACGTGCGTGTCGGCAGCGCGACACACTCGCGTTCCACTCGAATTCAAATTAATCGAATCGCGCGATCATAAGTATCGAGACGCCGTCGACACACGAATGTTCGAAAAGGCAGGTCGGGATACGGCACTCGAAAGCCCCGACTCTGTTTTACTGCGTACCGCTCCACTGTGATCACGAGTACCCGTCGACGACGTGCGCAAGCGGGAGCTTGGATTATTGAGGCGCGGCGGCCGGCGGCTCTGAGTCGACAGCACTGGTGTGCCGCTTGTCGGTTGTTGGCACGTATACCGGCCAAGACATCAGGGAGACGCAAGAGAGATGCCTCTCTCGCGCGCGCGGCGCGGTATCGACTCGTCGAGGTGCGGAGACTGCGCGTTGGCCGCGTCGCCGTTCACGCGGCGCCAGCAGCCCACGATTTTTCCCGCCATTTTTACCCGGTCCAGTGTGTACCGTTCTCTCTCCTCCTCTTTCTCTCTCTCTCTCCTTCTCTCTCTCTCTCTCTTTCTCTCTGCCTCTGCCCCTGATCCTCCGCTGCGCGTCACCTGGCCGGGTTCTCTGCGCCCTCGTCCGTGTGTGTGTCGTCCTGCTATTGTTCCACGTGCATCGTTCGTCTCGATCGTGCCCGCGCCCGTCTCCCGTCGAGGAAGAGAAGCTCTAATAGCGCTCGTGCTTTGCCTCCGCCAGCTCATCGCATTTGTCGTCTATGTCGTCCTGAAATTAATATTTTCACTGTTACTCTCACCTCTCGCATCCATTGGGTCGTCGCATTCTATCGATAAGATAACGCGACCCATTCGTACGTCGCCGCTGCGCAATGAGCGCGTGAATATCTCGAGTTTCCGAGATTCCCGAACATTTACCAATACATATTTTAGTTCTTTGAGAGAGAGTTTCAGTTTAAAGATGTGTGCATCTTTAAAAATAAAAGTATTTTTATTCGTCTATCTATTGTTTAATGAAATATTTTGACGTTATCTACTTGTCAGTTATAGTTTACTTATTAAAAAGAAAAAGAAAACAACTGAACTTTCGTCATTTTTTCATAATTTTTCATAATAAGCTTTTTAATTCTGTCCTGCTGGAACCATTTTTGAAACACTACACGTATATCTGACACTCTCTGTACGATATTGATAAAATATCATATACTGATAAAATTTTCAATATAAAACAGAGATTCAAGAAGAATATATTAATGTAAATATCTACAGACTACAGACTAGGATCCTGAAAATCTATAGAATATGTAACGTGAACTATAGATTTTCAGTAAAATTTTTCGTAGAAAGAATGTTTTGAAATGCGACCTAGATGATGACTCGAAATATTCATTTGCGAGACGCACATAAAATTCCGCTGATCTCCCTACGGTTAAATATAAAAATTGCGTTCGAGTGAAATTCCATGCAGAGTAGATATCGAATTCCTCGTGTGCTCGTAAAGCAGGAATGCAGCTAGGGAACCTGAATCCATTTGGAAACTAAAGGCAGGATCCATTAAACGCTCTAAAGTATTCCAGCTACTGTCATCAAACTACGTGTATAAGAAAATTTTCAAACTTGCAACGTTCAATAAATCACACTCTAGTTCAAGAGATCATCATATTGCCTCTTAGTCGCGCCAGTGTTATACATTTTTTAACAGTAAATGATATATTATAAAGTCTTATTTCACGGAATTCATGACAAAATAATTACATTCGTGTTCAAGCGCGCGCTACACCGCACACAGTGATTTATATTACGATATATTTTTGTAAAGCGAATGGAAAAAGAATTCGGTGATACGCAGTTGACCTCATTTTTCAGTAATCTATTAATCTAAGATTAAAAAGACTCGATAGCATCGATACAAAAAGAAAAATCTATGGAATGTTCCATAATATACATTTGAGACTGCGCGTATCAAATAATCGATAAAACAGAAAAAAACAGAAAAAAACAACAGATAAACAGAAAAAAATCATCAAGGGAAATAGAAGGAAGTCAGGAGGAATAGAAGCATGTACCTCGTCGAGCTCCAGACACTTGCCCCACTCGATCAACGTGATCTTGTGGTCATTGTCAGCGTCACAGGAATCCAAGAAGGGAGCGATGCAGTGTTCGAGGGCCATCAAGGGCGCTCTTATCGGGAAGAGTTCATGGCGGGACACGGATCGGTCATGCGGGTGACCATCCAAGTCGCACCACTTCCAAATGGCCGCGTTCGTCCAACGTAACGTGTGATTCATCTCCGCTTCGCGCTGCATCTTTAGGTAATGCGACGGCAGCTCCTGACGATCCGCCAAGTCGCGCATGATGTTAAACAGCCAGTCGCGCATTCGTCTGGGGAAATCGGCCATGTCCTCTTCCTTGCACATCTGCATACATCAACGAATGCATATTTAGCATTTGATGAAAGCGCCGCTTACTCTCTACATCTGTTAAAGTGTGTGAGAGGGAAATCTCGCTCATAATAATTACATAAAACACGTACATTATATTATAATTATCTAGCAGATATATATGGAAATGAAATACAGCCGACCTTCTCGTGAAAAGAGGAGGTTTCTTGCGACAGAGCTCGTCAAAATACGAAAATGTGATGGTGGGTATTTAAAAGAAGAAGAAAGATATGACCTTTTGGGTCTGAACACTTGATTGTTTTCAGCTCGGCGAAACACGATTCTCAAGCCTGTTCATTTTATCATACAGTGACGAAATACTCACAGGCATTTGTCGGCACTCCCCGTAATACTCAATGTGGACGTGCAGATAATCGTTGCCTTTGCACCTGGCGTCACCGGTGTCGCAGAAGCAACGCGCCTGATAGACCTCGCAATCGCTGCCGAAGGTCTCGTTGTAGTTGGTGCACACCTTGCGGCGGGGATCGACCTCCTGGTTGCAGACCTCCACGCAAACGCACTCAGCCGTACCCTCCTCCGTAGTCTGAAATCGACAAGGTTGAATTTCCTCGCTCTCGTGTTCGCCTCGAGAACTCGGCGAAATCGAAATTACAATTTCACTCCGAAATTAAGTATTACTCCGTAATACATTACAGATATATATTAAGATATATTACGTGCCGCTTTTCTATTTGTCTCATTTCTAATTTCGACATTGCATCTGATTACTAAGTAGTGGAAGTCGATAGAGAAAGATCTAAAAATACGAATGAATACATAAGACTCGTATTAATAGTCGTTACTTGAGATTTGCCTCAAGCGAAACAAGGCTCGGATTTTAATTTAGAGTTACATGCGAATTGAATCGCGATTGAAAATGCAATGCCGCATGTATAATTCAAATGAAAAAGAAATTCGCATCTAAATAACTTCAATAATCAAAGCAAGAAAGGAGGAGCTGAATAAATAGAGAAAAATTACTCTTTTGAGCCACTTATTTGCCGTAGCATGCGCTAAATCTACGCAAAACCGTTTTCCCCATTTGCATTTACATGTAAAGAAAGCTCCTTGTCGACGAACCTTGCAAACGCGACCAGCGCCGCAGTGTTTATCCGTGCACGGGTCCGCCAGGAGCAAACGCTGCTGCTTCGATCCAACCTCATTTCTGCCATTTTCGAGAGTGAGCTCAGCGTCAGCCGCCGCCTCCTCCTCGGCCGTTTCGTCAGCTTCCAACATGTTCATGATCTCATCTTGCAAGGGTGCCTCCGTTGTGGTCCTTCGACGGCGATATTTCCGTTTACGCTGCGTGATTGCAATCAAACACGATTAATTATCTCATGCAATTCCCTCTGTGACATCTAACACGATAGGCGATACACAACGAATGTATACGAACGCCAAGATAGATCGCGATACAACGTAAAGGAAAAGTTTGCAAAATCACACAGAAAGTAACAAAAATTAATATCTATTTAAAGTATCAATAATACGATAATAATACAATAATACTGAAAATACAATATAAGATAATTTTGCTTGAGCAATTTTAAAGTCTTGAATCTCAACAACGTTATAATTCTATTTAAATACTGTAACAGTCTCATGAGAAGCACGATATGATTATTTTAATAATAATAATTCATCTTCTCCCGAAAAGTCTGAAAACACATTATATTCTGAAGCTAATATTTTGTGTTTTCCACTCGTGAAAATTATTTCTGTATAATAAAAATATATTTTTCTCTTGATTGAATCACATGTAAAATTCATTGATGCAAGTAGCTTGTATCCTCGTTTAACGCTATGTGATCTCATTTAAAGATTTACATGCCAAAAAGAGGATACTTTCAAAACACAAATGTTCCTTTCTTTCTGTATAGATGCAATTGCATGAGATGGAAATCTGAATTTAGATATCTTCCTCTCACGCAGCGATAATCGCAATCACAATCACGGGTAATACAATTACATGTTGAAATAATCGCTCGTATCGTTCGTGTACCAAATATCGCTCTTATCATTGAATAATCGTGATACCTGAGCAGACACGTCGATTATCAGCACCGCCAGGAGCAGCGCGACCAGCAGCAGCTGCAGCTTCACCCGCATTGCGATTTCTGAGACAAATTGGTGCCAATGATTGTATACATGTTTGTCTGTTCTCTCTTAGAATAATCGATTTAACGGGTGCGACGTGCACGGCCTCGATCTTAACGAAGTTTGATGGTATTCGCGGTATCGTTATTGCGGTAAACGCGTGCCTGCTCTCTCGGCAATTTACGAACCGCCACTAAGCTACGACCCGGTCATGTATATATCACATATCGCCGCGTATCGTCTCTGAGAATTACGGTCCAGATACGCAAGATCGAATCAACCATTTCTTTCTCTCTCCCTCCATCCTCCTCTCTGTGAGAAAAAAATTATTGATGAAACGATATTGCAATGATATTTAATAGCGTGCAATGTTTTCTAATGCGTAGCTTTTAACGTTGTATCAACACCTCTTCAACACTTCAACGTTCCTGTGAAACACTTTTACAATGTTATTATCCAGTAATGCCTCATTTGTAAAATATTAAGATTTTTTTTTAATATTAAGCGGAAACACGTTGAAGAGACAAAATCTGCATTTCAAGTTAAATTTTCAGTTAAAATCTACCTAGACGTCACAAACTTCTAAGAGAAATCTCAAAGACGTCTGGACAAGATTTCTAAAAGTAAAAAATAGGAAGTCTGTAAGACATCTTTTGGTAGTTTGTGCTGTCTCGGCTGCTCACACTTGCCTCAAAACTCGGGGAATATTATTACACTGTGAGTATTTGGCTCGTTCATCCTCGTCCATCTTGCGTGTAATATGACAAATCGGCCAATTTCTGAGGAATCTCGCGCACGAGGCTCGCAGACACGTTCTCGCGCGCGGAAGAGCGAACTCGCGGGACAAGGAACTTCGGAGAATTCATCTCGGAACGGTTCCAAGTTCCGGCTTGGATGAAAGAGGTTAATATCCCCCGGAGCTAAATCGGTTACGAGCTCTCGCCCGTACAAGTAAATAAATCAGCCATCATTTCTCGCGCGTGCCCGCGTAACGCGTTTTTATCGCCGGCGTTCTCGATTGATGCGTTGACGTGGAAGATGGATCGTTTCTTCACGCAACCAAAAGTCCTATTTGAGACACATATCAAACGCTGAATACGCCTTTCTGATACCCTTGCTGAAACAACGTTATACGTGACGCTTATGTAAGAAAGAACAGAATTCGGAATTAGAAAGGCATACTTAATATTTGCTGTGCGTCCAGAATAGAGCCCTAGATCGATTGTTTGTTCGCTCGCGCCAGTTTCGCAAATCCATACTGAGACGGCGGCGACATACACTCGTCTACAAAATGATTTGAACCGTCGACATTTAAATATCTGGACGGAACATGTACACGGAGGGGATATTGCCGTTTTATTTTTTTTCATATAAAATCTTTTCGACTTTATTTTATGCTTCTACACTGAGAGAAAAATTATCTTAAAATCAACAAATATTTCCTTGGTGGGTGCTATTAACATATTAACTTTATACTTAAATCTACATTCTCTTTACTTAAATCAAATATTGTTTATTTAAATCAAGTAAACAATATTTGATTTAAGTAAAGAGAATGTAGATTTAAGTAAATATGTTAATGGCACCCATCAAGGAAATATTTGTTGATTTTAAGATAATTTTTCTTTCAGTGTAGCAGTGCACAAATACTGACTGTCAGTAAAGTCTGTTTTGCTAAAGAACACAATAAATTTTTATAATAAGTTTTGTTCGAAACGTGACAAGTTTGTTAATTCACATTTCAGTTCTTAAGATACAAATAGCGCATGTGAAAAAACGGAAGGATAATAAATTACTGCAGAAAATCGATCTCCTTGATAACAACATTCTACAGTAACTTTTATCACAAAATTCTTTTATCAGAAAATCGATCTCCTTGATAACAACATTCTACAGTAACTTTTATCATAAAATTCTTCTCGCGTCAATTGTCAATTAATACTCTAAACAGACCTAAAATTGAAGAATTTTTAATTCGGCTACAGTTGTACTAGAATTTGACAAGAATTTTTACCGCTTCGTGAAATGCTCCGTATAGATATTCATATGACTAGACGGACGCAATATGCGAAGCTAAAAATCGTATAAGTAATATTAGTCCTACTTGCAATATCAAGACGCGCATGACACAAGACGCGCATGACACTTGACGCGCACACGCACGCACGTACGCACGCGGGTCAACGCGAGATAAATCTTGCTTTTCGCCTTAATAGGAACAACGAAGCGATAACCCAGATACTTAAAAAGCGCCGTTTCAGAAGCATCCGGACGGCCCGCGCATGCTTTCAACTGCGTTTTCGCTCCATCTTGCGAATCGCGCACGACCGACGCTCATCATCTCTCTCTGTCTCTCAGGGGTGTATCGTGTGTGTGTATGTGTGTGTGTGTGTGGTACAATCACTGAAATATATACAAACTGAAACGAGCGCTAGACCGTCTGTGTAGGATGAGAGGAGAGGAAGGAAGGAGAGAGACAGAACATGAGTGTTTGAAGCATACTCTGAATATGCATGTAGCGTAGACATGTCGATATCGCGCGAAAATATCGAATATAAAGATTTTCGATATTCTTTAGTACTGATCATATCGAATATGAGTAAATATACATCGAATAAAAATATCGAATATTTCTGATAAAAACTAGAGAGAAACTATAATATACTGATTTTTTCAATTTTATATAAATATTTCGAATAAAAACAATAAAAAGAGTAGATTTGTAAATCAATTTACTGCATTGATTGCCCTAGGTGTTGAGTTAGCAATCGGTTCAGCGCAGTTTTGTACTGATGTGAATCACACTGTACTCGCCTCCGTCCTAGTTCAGTTCAGTGTTTAATTCAGTTCAGTGCAGTTCTTGTATGCAGCACGAAAAAAGAACAAACCTAAAATATACTTGTCTCACCTTAATTTATCGCACCAGTTCAGCGAAAAAGAACAGACCAATTGACTTTAATGTGTAAATATTCGTGAATTTATGAATAGTTGAAAAATAAAAATTCGATATTCTATTCATGATATTTTATTTCATATCAATCACCAGAAAAATGACGAATATGCGACAATATCGAATAACACCCAAACAACACAAACCTCCACAGGATATCCTCTCTCTAAAAACGTTCTGGGAACGTCTTTATGTTCTGAGAACGTCTCCAGGACATTCTCTCGAGATCTCGTGTATCTGGGCGATAACCATCTGCAGTTATGCGCTCTGTCTTTGTCTATCTTTTGTTGATCCTGCCGTACCTCATCCTTTCCACTTTCGACTATGCTGTGGCCCAGACAAGGACGAGGAAGGAACCAAGGACCCTTCTCTCTCTCTCTCTCTCTCTCTCTCATCCCGTTTGCTTACTGTGGGTATTGTATGGCACAGTGCGCGTTCCAGTTATATTTCAATGAATGCAGTAATCTTACGCGCCTCTCTAACCTCGCACTGTCGCGTTCCCGCGCGACAAGGAACAACCTGGAGTCACCGTTACTATCACCAAAGATGAAATTTGAATGCGATTGTTGGCCAACCGTAGGCTCACTCGTTGTACAAGTGTCGTTGGATGCGCCGATTGGCTGACGGATAGAGCATTCCTAAGGTTCCTAACATTTTTACAGGCACCCTAGAAATTCTCTATCCAACAACCAATCCACGTGTCCGACGAGCTTGCCGTACGACAAATCAAACGTTCCCCACAGTTCTTAATTCACACGTCTTATCAGTGAGATTCGATTACACGCGTTTATGCAATTGCAGTGTTCGTGAACTAGAACTTTACGCTAAGTTCCGCGATTTATGTCGGCTCTTTCAGATAAGACTGACTTCCCTGCGTGTGTAAGTATGTAAATAGTTAATTACTCGCGTAATTGTGCGAGTCAAGGATTCGAATTGTCAATGAAGAATATAAAATGCTCGCATGTACGTGCGGATGATTGTTTTATATTGAACAAAAACTGATCCACCCCTGAGATACAGGTATGTGATTGTGGTCTTGCGCGTAAATAGAGGGATGTAAGTATATGTCAAAATATCAATCCCAGTAAATACGATAACATCACGAGCGTCAATAATATGTCATTAATACGTCCCATGAAACGTTATCATGTTTGCTGGGAATATAAACAGCGATGACCACAATACACACGTATGTACTTAGAAAAAAAAATGTTTGTTGTTTGTAATTAGTTTTAGCTTTATGTTACACTTATGTTCGATTATGTTTCAGCTCTTTATTATTCACGCTTATGCATTCTTCTAACATCAACTAGAAGTAAGGAAAAAGTGTGTACTAGTCGCTAAATGGAGAATTCACGAGCTGATCAAAACCTCGACTTAACGAACCGCGGACGTCTCAAGTCGTAAATGCAATTAGATGGAATTAAGGAGCCGCGTAATACGTTTAACTCGTGGACGAGACAGGAAACGCCCGCGTTTTAATAGTCAAACAGCCGACACGGAGCGTCGTGTTGGGATATTCATTTATGCGTCAATGTGGCGTACACGCAGATGCATCGTGAGTCTTCTGTAAATATTTTACACGTGCAGGCCGACTTGGTTCCTCAAGCGATAAGTTGCTCGTCGTCACGATAAAAGATTAAGGGAGTCGAAAATAACTCTTAGAGGAACGAGGGAGAAGAAATATCGTCAGTATTATTTATCTTGCACATACATATGCGAATATTTGGACTAAACATTCCGTTATTGCAAGTAGCTGGAACTTCTGTATAATTGTGTAATTTGTAGATGTTAGTACCATGAAGTCTGACAAGAAAGCCGGTCATGTTTCATCCAGAAAAATTAGGAAAACAAGAAGAAATTAAGAAAGAGAATTATGAAAGAGTAAAAAACGAGAGAAGTGAAAGGATAAGTTTCCACGGATAAGTCTCGATTCTTTGGACATCATAAAACAATTTTTGGTGATTGGTGCATATATTAGTTTATTATCGAGCGAGTTTATACCAAACATTTGATACATATCCTAAATATTCATGCAGCATAAATGTCTAAAGTATATCCTAGAGAGATACCTTTGGGATACCTCTCTCTCTCTCTTTCTCTCTCTCTCTCTCTCTCTCTCTCTCTCTATGGTGTATTTATTTATATCAATATTTTAGATATCTATACTTATTTAGATATCTATACTTATTTAGATATCTGTATTTAATCCATACATCAAATATTTGGTATAAACTAGCCCAATGACAACCTATTACGTGTGCCAAAGGATTGGCAAAAATCGCCTATGCAAAGAGGAGAGCGCCGTCGGTGTGCGCAGCCGCTCAAAGTCGTATCTTGGCGCGGCACAGCGCGTCTGCGAAGCGTCACGCGGCTTGACGCGAAGGCACAACGCCGACGGCGGACGTGTCGCGTCGCGGCGCAGCGCGCGGAGGCGAACTCCCGCGTAGGAATCGCGCGCGCGGCGTACATAAGGTCCATTTTTTATCGCGTTGCCGATCACGTTCGCCAACGTGGGCGAATCGCTCTCCTCTCTACGGGAAACGAGAGAAACGACAGTGTATAGTTTTGAAATCGTTGAAGAAATCGTTATATCCGCCGTCCGTCGCTAATTTCGTGTGTACATTTCCCAGACGGAGCACGAGATGTCCCAGAATCATCCAGACTGTGTCCAAAATGAATGTTCCGAGGAGTGCCCTAGAATGTCCTGAGCACATCCAAAATGAACCTCAGGACGTTTCGTACTGTCTGGAATGGCTTTGATATAGTTTGAATCTTCTTGATGATTAATTTTTTATTTAACTCGTCATCAAAAAGCTGGGGTCTGAGAATCCACATCGGCATTCAATTTCGTTCTCTTTAAATCTTTGTAATATCTTGAAAATGTAATATCTTTGTAATATCTTGAAAATTTCCCGTTAGCTACTATTAAATTTCAATATTCCACAAAATCATGAGAAATATATTATAAGCTTTGAGAAATTATAAAGATATACAACAAAAAAGAAAAAACAAAACTCATTAAATCTCACAATACTTAACTCGTCTTCTAATGACGAGTTAAGTTTCTCATTTGATTAATTCTCAAAAATTAAGTTCTCTCTTCGGACCATTAGCTTCCAAACTGCATCGAAGATAAAGTCTCGTATTCTGAGTTCTCTTAACGATAAATGAGCCTCTAAAAGTGACTTATAGTCAATCAGAAAGCTTATAAGCCACTTTTAGAGGCTTATTTATCGTTAAAAGAGAACTCAAAATACAGGCCAAGATGTCGAAACAATATTAAAACCAAATGTATACAACAATGTTTAAGGCCGGTATTCATAAGTCCGATCTTATATTTAAGATCATCTTAAATATTGTCTTAAGATGTTATGAACCAATCACAGACCCGTATTCATATCTTAAGACATTACTTAAGACGGTCTTGAAATAAAATTCGCCTATGAATACCGGCTTAAAAGTTCCGGCGTATTCTTATTGATGATGAACCTTACTTTCCAGCTTTCGTCCGCCTAGATCAGTCATTACGCCCACGGCAACACACATGAACTTCCACGAAGCACGAATATCGGGGATACGTCGTCTCTACCATGTTCGACTCCAACGCGGAATTAAATGTTAACTGGTCTACCGACAAGATATTCTCGAATTGGACGCGTTGATTCGATCGATTTAGTTAAGAATTATTAACACTTAGGAGCGCCTTTATTTTCTTTGATTCTCAGTTTCTGCTTCGTCAATTTGAAACTGTATGTATTAATTAATGTTTCGTACTTTTTTTCTAGGAACGATAAGAATACATATATGTTATATTGGAGCGAGCAAAATCCTAGAAACGATATACTCTGGCAGAGTGTTTCTTTATCAGACTGAGATTTGAACTTTGGGGACGATTGCGACACAATCGTGGCATAAGAAGAGGTCATACAATTGAACTTATTTGAAGCAACTCTATTATCGGTATACAAGACGTCGTTCCTATTGCGAACTGTTTCTAATAATAGAAAATTGCAAATCTGACGCACTAAAGTCGTGCGATTTTTCATGTACGAAATGATTTTTCTTTCAAGATGACGATAAAGTTAAGAACTAACTTTCAAGACGACGATAAAGTTAAGAACTTACAACCGCTAAATTGTTTATTTAACAATATCTGTGAAAATGGATGAGAGAGAGAGAGAGAGAGAAAGAGAGAGGCGAATAATATTTGTTCTTAATTCACAGTAATTAGCGATAACGAACAAAGAACACTGGATTTCCGTTCCAGAAAAGACACAATTTCCGAGAAATACGTATGACAGAAGATAATTCAGATACGCCCACCGCGCTAATATATCTAACGTATGCAGTTCTGTTAAAAAGTCTGACTCATGCAAACGCTATGCAAAAATTAATATGAGAGGCATTCATTCCTCGTGTTAAAACCGCGTCACTTTTATTTCAATCAATTTATTTCACGCGACAATCGTCGGCACAATAATTTGGCGGGAAACTATTTCTAAGTTGAAACAAGAAGATTTTGTCAATAGCGAAGGGACTGCTACGAAACGAGAAGGATCGCAAAAAATTGACAATGAAAAGGAGCTTTTCTGTCCCGAGTTTTGTATTCTGACTGTATAAACGGCCAGTGCCTGGCGATCTATTTATTTCTATGCGTACCTGCGATTACAATTCCTTGTGGCTCTTCCGCGTACCCCAGGTAGCTGTTTATCCTACATTTATGCTATTTAATTAATAATTAATTTAATTTATTTCACGCGACAATCGTCGGCACAATAATTTGGCGGGAACTATTTCCAAGTTGAAGCAAGATTTTGTCAATAGCGAAGGGACTGCTACAAAACGAGAAGAGTCACAAGAAATTGATAATGAAAAGGGGCTTTTCTGTCCCGAGTCGCGGTTATTCGTGTGTCAACGTGTAAGAAAAATCGCTGAATTTGTTCGCATGAAAGATAAGATATCCACCCGCGCATCCACCCCTCGCGACTGCTAATTAATTAATTTTGCAATCGAAACTTCGAATATTCTTAAAATTTATGTCAATCATTGAAGACACTCAGATTTGAATTTAGGGTTGAATTGGGTTAGATCTAAATTACTCAGTTGAATCGCATGATGTATGTAACATTGCACTTGTAATTGCGATTTAACTGGAAAACTCTGACTCCAAATTCAAATAAGTTGTTACTCATATGCGGAAAAAACAATTTCATTAGTATAACTGAATTTTCCGCTGCCTGATAAAAATAAGAACTAGATGGAAAAATTTCATTTTGTACACTGTACATTGTATACTAAGAAAAAATACTTGAAAATTTATTTGTGATATAAAGTTTGCTTCTGTGAAATGAGTTTATTGTGTTTAGTAAAGTTTATTTCTGCAAATAAACTTTATATTCCACAGACAAATTTTCAGATGTTTTTCTCAGTGAAAAAACAGATAATAAATAAATAGAGTAGGTTTCTACACTAAGAAACAAATATATTTGGAAATTTATTTTTTGGATAAGAGTTTATTTCTCGCAGAAAAATATACCTAAGAAGTTTATTTCGCGGAAATAAACTTTACATCTCACAAGTAAACTTTCAAGTATTTCTTTCTAAGTGTACTCAGCCAATTGTTCTAACTTGTTGCAAGCAAAGTTTAATACAGCTATACATTCAGACAAATGTTTTCGGCTGCGGATTGCTGAGAGACGTCATTTCTCGTCGCCGAATTTCCATCTAGTCCTTATTCGGTTGCAGAAACTGAGATACCTTTCGCCGCGCAACACAAGTCACCTATATTCGAAGGTGCTGATAAAATCATTCTTTAAAAAATTATTTACATTATTGCACATTGATCGGCAACGATAACGGTGTCCCAAGAGTTCCAAGTCAAAAGTCGCAAGTTAAAATAACGATGCTTGACGAGCTGTGCAATAAAAAGATCGCAAGTTGACCGTACCTCGCGTTGTGACTCTCTTTGGGAAGATTCGCGTCGCTCGCTCGGCCTCCTTCCTCGGCGCGCGTCCGTAAGAAGAATCGAGAAAAGAACAGCCCTCCAAATCGGCCGCTGAATCGGTACTGACTGCGCCCGAGGCAGTCGCGTCGCGTCGCGTCGCGTCATGCCGCGTCGCGTCGCGGTGCGTCGGTCCGTGGACCGCGACGAGCCGATCGCCGCGCGCTGCCGAACACGCGGACGAGATGATCTCATCTCTCGCGCGCGTTTTCTTTTCTCCCTTCCTACATCCCCGAGCGATCTCTTTTCGCACGTCCTATCGCTCTTACACGTCGTCCTACGTAATACGTGACACACACGACCGATTACGCCACGACGACATTCGCCTCTTCACGTTGAAGATTCCTCTTCTCGACGACGACTTTGATCTACGAAAATTGTCCCTTCGTTGTCCTCAGGACACTCGGGAAGCGATGATACAGTGGGTTGCATAACGATTTAGACGCGATGAAGTTGGGAGTTCAACTGTCAAAATTTCGTCATTACTGACGGAATATGCAATAATAATATAATTACTAGTATAATTAATAAACAATGATTATTAATAGTGACATTAATAATAATGTTAATTAATAATCAATAATAATATAATTACTGAACAATATATAGCCCTACACACACACACACACACAGTAAAAACTCTCAATTTTGACAGCTTTGGTGAGCCTCCAACTTCAAGATGTCTAAACCGTTCTGCGACCCACAGCTCCAATAATCGGAGAATGGCGATTGTCCAGGAGTTCGTTTCTTCGAAGAACATGTCGTTCGCGTCGTCATTCGTCAATTATTAACGCATCGTTGCTGAGCAGATTTTGCACGCGTTATTATCTGCACACTAAACATTTATCATTATAAGTAGTGCACATAAAAAAGTATGCATTATAATAACTACAATGCATATATAATGATACGATATTATTGTGTAACATATTCGAATTACGCTACACCATCGGGCGTGGCGATTTATCTCGCAATAAAAAGGCGAAAAAATCGCAGGCTGTACCGAAATGAATAAACAATGTGCAATATACTTGATTACAGCGATGTCGCAGTGTGGCAAAGATCGACACGTTCGTAAAACCGATCGGAAGCCGACTGTAAAGGAAAGCGCGGCCTCACACGCGCGGAGCCCCAGCAATGAAATTCGTGACATGTGAAAGATAAAAAAACGTGCACACATACACGCTGCGACAAATAAAGTGATACTTACTAGGGGTTTTATGGTAGTAAGGTAGGTATATATTATGTACTAAATGCAAAAAGTTACAGTACATTTGATGTTTGTTCTTTCATATTTCCTTTAACATTATCTTTTTTCTTTTTTTTCCTCTTTATCGCAGTAACGTTGTTTCACGGTTGTACACACAGACTGGCCTGGCGGACCAAAATAAAAACGTATACTACAAAAATTCACAACTTATTGATCGCCATCTAATTATTATTACATCGTTATAATTATTTGTATTCTTTTTTTTCGTGTCCTCCCCTCCGTGTTTTCTGTTATATTTATCTGTACTTTGTTATTATTATTATCATTAATAGTTACTTAGAAACGAAAACATTCACACTAAAAATTTGCGGAGCTCTCTTTCAAGTATAAAGCGACGACTTCGCGTAACTGTGACTTTGAACACGTCGTACTTGAACACACGGATATGCTCTAGATGGACAAAGGATGTGGCGAAGTTAAACAGTGAGCGAGTAGTGATTGTATAGAACGTTTCATAGTCAGTGGCAGGCGAGAAATCGGAAGTCATATAATCTGCGATTATAGAGTATATTGAACGGCTACATTGGCCGGCGTAAAACTTCTCTTTCTCTCCCTCTCATTCTCTCAAAACGCACATACACACACACACTCTCTTTCTCTCTCTCTCTCTCTCTCTCTCTCTCTTTTCTCTTTCTTTCTTTCCCCCCTGTCTCTTACCCATATAAATATCTCTTCAAATATGCTCTACGTATGTATACAAGATGAAACGGCTAGCGCTTCAATACTTAAAAAGTATCCTTTTTCTACTGACACATACATTGTCATACTTATTATGGCATACCGTAAAAGGGAAACAGTTCGCCGTTGCGATACTACTACCTTAGACCATGCTCAAAGCGACGAACACACACGCACACACGTAAAATATGCAATCCGCTTCTGTGAAAATGTCTACGTTAGGCGAAACGTGTCTTGTGTGTTTAACAATAACTAGACTTTCGTGCGTCCATTATCTCGTCGACACTTTGATCGCCGTGTTAGGCGCGATTGTTATATATCTTCTTTCCGGGAATTGCGCGATCACACGACTGATACTATATATTTCCCGTCCAATACCCGCACTAGGGTTCGCGGATAGACAATGTAAACCTGAGCGAAATGTAAACTCTGCGATCCTCTATATACTACATCCGGACACGTTCGTGGTTTTCGAGGAAATGCAGGTACACGACTTGTACACAATTTATCGCGGCAGCATCAAAGTGTCGAGTCTTTTTCGTGTTCATAGCGGTGTTCCGAAGTTCACAGCGAAGTAGTAATAGCGCGATCGCAACGTGTTCCATTTTATAGTACGCGTATTATTACATGATTTCACGAAACCGACATATAAATGCTGTTTATGAATATTCGGTATCATTTCTTGCTTATTTTGAAGATATGATATAAATACGAAGTAGGATCTCTCTCTCTCTTTCTCTCTCTCTCTCTCTCTCTTGATGGTGATTGTTGAAGTTTCAATTGAATCAAGATTTTTACGAGTGTTAGAGTAAAAGTATTAGAGTTGTAGGTACGTTACGTAAAGAATGCAAGAAGAACGTGTGTGTTGTGTACATTGCTGAAATATTTTTATGTAATCATGCATGACACATGCTACATTGTCATTGTTGTGTGTCTTGATGAAAAATCCCCATAACGTTATTTTTTTCTACATTTTTTGTTCTTTATACAGACAGCGGTATTATCTCGCTTAGTTTTATAGAAGACATGTAAAAGTATTGAGCAATGTCTGAATAGAACGCTAACGTTAAAGTTCCAAAAGAATCGTTACCGCGATGTTACGAGGAATTTTCACAAGTGTAACAATACACGTTATACACTTATGATTTATTATAAACATCTTACACATGAAAGAAAAACAAACGGACGACAAAACAGCGCATATCTCGTATATTACAAATCGTCAGTGGAATCGTGTGGCTCTTTGAAAGCTGCCATTCACCCTGGGCTCTTAACTTGAACGCCGCGAAAACGGGTGCAGGGCCGTTCAAAAAGTTCACGGCGAGATTTAGCGTATCTTCGAAGACGAATGAAAGACGCGAAAGGAATCCGCATCTTGCCACTTCGCGAATCTTCTTAAAATCATACAAAATACACGGCGATATTCTACTTTCCGTCGCAAGGAAGAGAGAAGTGCTGTACTTGATAAAGTGAAGGTGCTTCATCCTGTATATTTCCGATTCAAATTTAATGATATATATATATATATATATATATATATATAATATATATATATATATATATA